GTGACGACTATGCCCTCAGTCTAGCTTATTAAGCATTCACGTACTCTCAACTCCGCCGATCTTTGTGTCGCCACTACCGTCAAAAACGTTTTTACTTTTTTCTTCTACCGTCCAACTTCATTCCCAGAGAGGGTAAACTCAGAAACGAAAGGAAAAAAAAAAGAAAAAAAGCATGGGTTATCTTCCATCGTTGATAATTACCTTCAGAAAGGGACACTTGAGAGATATCATAGAAAAGAAAAAACTGAACCACTCCATCGTTGAAAACTTCATCTGCAACGCAGTGGCTGTGACCCAATGGCCCTCGGTCCACTACTCTCGAAATGTGCAAAACGAGAGTGAATCTTCCTCCAGAACATGGAAAGATACACCGCCATGACTTTTGTCTTTTGTGTGTATGTCGAGAGTAGTGGAGCGATGCCCAATGCTTAGGCGCACACTCGCCGTTTCGTATAAAAAGCCAAAAAAAATCAAACAAACAAACACTACCAACGGGCAGGGGGCTCAAGTTGGTGCGACCATTAACTGTCGAAATGCAGACCTGAGTTCGTAAAATTCGGTGGAACTAGCTGAATTTGATGATGAGATAATTCTGAATAACTAACCGGGGCCAGTCAGTTCAGTGATGATTTCTTCTTTTTTTTTTTTTTTTTTTCCGACAGTGATGATATCTCAAGGCTGCCGCCCTTTGAAAAAAACACGAAAAAATAAAACCTCAACAGCAGAGTTATGTCGCCACACTCGACGCTTATATACACTATTCTCCTCCACCCTCCACTGCCACCATCCACCCGCAGCTGCGCAGACCTGAGCTCGGATCCCGGTGGAGCTAGCTGAATTCGATGATGAGATAATTCTGAACCGGGGGCCACTCAGTTCAGTGATGATATCTCAAGCCTGCCGCCCTTTCGAAAAGGGTGAAAAAAGTGGAAAAAAAAAAAACAAAAAAACTCAACAGCGGAGTTGTGTCGCCGCAGCAGGGCACGCGTCGATACCGGCCCCACCGCGCCGCCGTCATGGCCCCCGTTTCAGTCTTTTCGTTCACAATCATGTTAGCCATCGCCGCCGTTAGCCACCGACAGCCGCCGCTACGTCTTCCCCCCCGGACATAACGCACCCCGAAAATGAGCGTATGCAAGGATGTTTCCGGTCCGATACAGTCAGAATGAGGGTGCTTTGCGTTCGGGGAAGACGGTAGCCGCGGTTAAGTTTTTCGTTTAAAAATAAAATATCACGTCCGTTTCCCCGGCCACAGCCAGAACGAAAGTCGGCCTCACAATCCTATCCTATACATGCGGGGCCTATCTTCTGATTAAGTTTTTTTCCTAATCAGGTATATATAATACCCCCTTGGCCATTTAACTTTTGACGTTACTGATCGCAATGTTGGCGATTTTTGAACCGAAATCGCCAGCGCTTACCGTGTTCCCGCCACCATTAGAGAACCTGATGATTTAGTGCTTCACGATTTCTGTTCGAGAAACGCCGACTTTTTTTGTGGCCAGGAACGTCAGAATTAAATGCCAAAAAAAAAAAAGAAAGGCATAAAGGAGTCGATATATCATTCGCCATTCGTACTCCACGACTTCGGTTCGAGAAACGCTGAAATTGAGGCCAGGAAGGTCGAATTAAAATTCCCAAAGGAGTAATTATAACGTTCGACGTTAGTACTTCCACGATTTCGGTTCAAGCGGCCAGGAACGTCGAAATTAAGTAAATGGCCAAATGCGTAATTACAACATTCTCGCACGTGCAAACATCGAAAAGGGAGGACGAGGTGCGAGGACGAAACTGAAAAAAACAAATGAAAAACAAAAAAGAAAACAAAAAGAAAAAGAAAGGAAAAAAAAATGTGAAGGAAGAATGAGGTGCGAGGACGAAACTGAAAAAAAAAGAGAAAAAAAAAAGAAAAAGAAAATGAAAAAAATGTAAAGGGAGGATGTGGAGAGTTCAGGGATCGCATGCCTCTTGTGTGGGTTCGAAATGACCGCGACTCTGGACATGCACACCATCCGACAGTCGGGATCTCGACATGCACACACCATGCGACAACCTGTGTGGCACGAGACCCTACTCGATTTCAACGTGAAATTCGGGCTGCTCAGTTCCGAAAGGTCGGGATCTCGACATGCACACCATGCGAGGAGCAAGCCCGAAGTCCCTCCTACCGCTCATCGAAAGCCTATCATACTCGTACAGATTGGAAGACCATCGTCAGATGATTAATTACTCATTGACTCAATCTTACAAGAGCATTTCATTCTTCAGACGATATCCAAGTCCTAATCGTAAAAACGCTTCTTCTCGATTTGCTCTGGCGTCTGTGGGCCTTCTTTCATTTTCTTTCTTTTCGTCTGCTGTCATCTGGATTCGGGCTGGAGTCTGCATGTCAACAGTTCATGGCTGGCTGTACCAAATGAGCTGGTAGGCCCGTTGGTCGCTCCTGCGCCTGCGGTCTCTAACAGGATATAAATTATTATAAAATAATAATTAGAAGTAGTCTACTTTTAGAATATTCATATTTTAATACATTACTATATACTATCTAGTATTAATTTAACAGCACTTGCTGATATCCATATCAATTCCCGAAAGAAAAAAAGAAAAAAAAAACAGATGTACATATCAATTCCCGGAAAAAAAAGAAAAAAAGATGTACATATCAATGAACAGGGATTATTAATACCCCGAGATCACATTTGGATTAATTAAACAGATCGCTCTACTAACATCCAGCATACCGAACCTATGAGAGAGCGCGATAGAAGAAGCCAACGAGAAGAGATGGCAGAGACCAGAGCGGAGCCAGGAATGTGTGTGTGGGTGGGCACACACAAGATCTGACTGTTATATAGACAACTCCCATTTTTATCTTCGCCTTTTGTCTATGGACGCTAAGGACATTCTTGTGCAGCGCATGTGGCGCCTATGTCGGTCAAATGCATCCACGCAAATCCTTGTGTCCGTTTGCCCTAAGAAACCCCCCACCAACCCATCCGCCGCGCCGTTTCTTGATCATCGCTTGCACACTACTACTATTCCATCCTGACTGACCGTCAAATCTTCGTTCTTCATTCCACACACTCAGTACATTTTTTTTTCCCCTGTGCTACGGCACACACACCAGGCAATCCATAAGGGGTAAGAATAGGTCAGGCAATCCGTGAGGACGTAGAGTGGAACAACAAGCAATCCACGAGGAAAGAGTAAGGTTTTGGAAGAAGAACTGGCAACGGAGTAAAGCGATATTGTACATGCCTTTCTTCATGACAACACAGAGAGAGAGAGAGAAATCGGCCCCGCACAAGATAAATACTATATTTCCGCACGTCGTTTGCCTCCCACAGACGAATGGATACCTCTGATCGCCGCCTCCCCCGCCTTCTCCTGCCCACGCTATCGTCATCGCTGCCGTGCGCCTGTCAAGAGAACTCATTGCGCAAAGGAAACCAACGACACAACAAACTCGGATGGCGGAAGAGCGAGGAAGGGGAAGGGGAGCACAAAGGCAACTTGACGAAAGGAAGAGGGGAGGAGAAGGGGAGGAGAGGGAGAGGAGGAAGAAAATTAGTAAGAGAAAAGGAGGAGAGGGAGAGGGAGAGGAAGAGAAGAGGAGAAGGAAAAGAAGGGAAGAGAAGAGGAGAGGGAGAGGGAGAGGAGAAGGGAACGGAGGACAAGGGAGGGAGAGAAGGAGAGACGGCAGACAGCGAATGAGGAGAAAAAGGGGACACGGGCGGGGAGGGAAAGCAAAAGGTAGGAACTACTAGGAAGCCGAGGGAGACTCAACCAGAGATGCAGAGCAGAGAGAAGTGTGGACGCAGTGAACCGGAGAATGGTAGCAAAGAGGGCACGGAGAGGAGAGGAGAGAAGAGGAAGAGCGCGGTGATAACAGGTGTTGTGAACATGAAACAAAATGATAAGGAGAAACGAGGACGTGGAGCGAGAACAAGGAGGGGTTAAAAAAAAGAGAGAGAGGAGGGAGAGCAAGGGCCAGGGCTGAAGAGAAAAGAGAGGGAACGGCCAAAACTAAGGGAGGAGAGGGAGAACGAGGACAAAAAAGGAAAGCAGAATGGGACGGAGATCCAGCAGAGGAAGGGCATGATAATGAACACTGAAGAGAAAGGAGAGTGAGAGCAAGGAGAAAAGGGAAAGGAAGAACGGCAAAGGAGGAATTCGATCCCAGGCCAACGAGCTAGGGAGGGAGAAAGATTAGCTCTTTAAAAATAACAGAAAGGGGGGTGAAGACCCCCCCCCGACAACAACAACAACTACAACAAGGGGGCAAATGGTCCTCCCTCCTCTCTACTGCGGAAAAAGAAGAAAGCAACGGCGAGAAAACGAGACGTGATGGCACACCAGCGACCGGATAAAAATGGAACATATGAATGATCAGAGGTAGTGATACAGATGGAAGCAGAGTGAATGGCGCTCCAGAGAGAAGAAACAGTCGTTCAAAACAGAAGAAAACAAGAACAGGAATCCTCGACACACGCAAAGAAAGCAACAGAATGAGGGCATACTCACACTAGCAACTTTCCAGAATGCATCTGACTGCAATTACGGCCAGACCTGGATGAATCTGACCGCAATCACGTCCAGAGCTTTGTGGAAAGTCCCTAGTGTGAGTATGCCTTGAGACTCACATGTAGAGCAGGAGAAAGGATACAAGAGGGACGCGGGATCGACGTACTCACATTACCCTTTCCAGACTGCACCTGACTGCAATTACGGTCAGACCTGGATGCATCTGACCGCAATCACGTCCAGAGCTTTGTAGAAAAGTTCCGACACTGAGTATGCCCTGAAACACACATGTAGAGCAGGAGAAAGGATAGAAGAGGGAGAGGATCGACGTACCTGAGAAAAAAACGACGTGCTTTTTCGAAAGGCCTTGAAGCACGAGCAGCACAGCAATCATATATACGTACACACTCCAAACGACGCAATTACGGCTGAATTTCAGCCAGAGAAATGTCCAAGCAGAGGGAAATTGGGGACATTACATGTGCGCATACGCAAAACACAGGCATCAAAGATGAATACCGCGTCATTACAAGAAGAGGAACGTGAACATTGCACCACCGAACAAATACGACAGTCAGAAATTCGACCAAATCCGTGCAAAGGAAAGGGTGTGTACCCTATAGCAGGAGATGAAGATTAAAGAGAAGAAAAGAGAACCGATCGACAGCATAATGAATGAACAAAAAAGTAAAAGCGTGTAAGAAACAACATAACGAAATGAAGGCAGACCGCGACCAAATCCGTGCAAAGGGAAGCGGCGTGTACCCTACAGCAGGAGATGAAGATTAAAGGAGAAAATAAAAGGACTGGTCGACAGCAGAATGAATGAAGAAAGAAAAGCGTGAAAGACACAACAAGACCAAATGAAGGCAGGCCGCGTAGAACCCCCATTCAATTGCCGGGATGGCGGCGGACAGCGACAGCGAACTCAATTGCTGGAAGTAGAATGGTTGAAGTTCCCCCTTAAGAGATGAAAAGACTCGATCATCTGACAGAGAAGGCGGTAGTTGGGAGATAAGGAAGAAGGAAAAGACGGTGAATGAATGTGGACCACATGACCAACGACGACGAGCGAGACTTCTTGTTGGAACAACTGAAGAAAGGAGACAAGGCGGATTCAACGGGAGGAAGGAGATGAAAGGAAAGAGAGAGAGAGAGAGGCGTATGACAGACATGGGAGAAGAGCAAGGAAACGGGGAGCAGCGGACAACAGGGGGCATGACAACGATAACGTGAACAGAAAAGTCGAGCCTCGGAAGACAATGATCACGCGTTCAGCGTCTGCTGATTCCCACGTGTCACCTTATGAATGGTCGGTCACAAAAACAATTACAGCAACCCCTCCTCCAATCCGCATCAACCCCGCTCTCCGGTCAGTTCACCCTTCGGCCGGGTACTAATCTCTCTCTCTCTCTCTCTCTCTCTCGCTCGCTCGCTCTCGCTCTCTGTTGCATACACATTCACGCACGTGAACAGAAACACACGTCGTAGGACGTCAGTTATATAGCTTTCCTTCTTTTTCATTGCTGCTTTCTGGAAGTGTAAACTCTGTACACGATGTACCCCGCGGCCAAGACGGTCATGCCTACGGCTGTGGCATAGACAGCCTGCGTGCACATGTGCTTGTATCGTTTATGTACCTTGCCCTTCTCAGTGATGGGGATGCTAAGGTGAGGCTTCATAGCCACCTCGATAATCTGTTGAAAGACGTTGGCTGTGTCGCCCAATTTCAGGGAGATCGGTATGGGGTTGGCGAGCCCCATGTCCAGACAGACCTTCGCCGTCGCGCCAATTGCGACCGAGTCGGGATCCAGATCATCCTTGTTGGCAACGAGTATCGCCGGCACCTCGTTCCACGTGGCCTCCCCGTGCTCCGCCAGTTTCTCGAGCAACTCCAGCGCGCGGTGCGACGACGTGCGACTCGAGGTGTCATACACGAACGCCGCCACGTCGCACGCCGCCATCTCGTTCACATCCTCCAGCACCTTCTTCGCCCTGTCATCTGGTATCTCCCTCATCACCAGAACCTTCGTCCCCTTCCCTCCCTCCTCCCCTACGTTCTCACATTCCACCACATTTGTCGCGTACCTGTCGCTCGCCGTCCGCACGTGGCCCGCTTCGAATTGCTTCCCTAGCAGCCGGTCAAGAAGCGCCGACTTCCCCGCCTTCTCCGCGCCAAACACGAAGCATTGGAAAACGTTTCTCTTGGTCTGTTTCCTCTTCCTGTCGCCGCGCCGCCGATCGGTCACTACAAATGCCGTCGCCGGGTCCTGGGGATACGTAAGGTAGATGAGGTGCGCGAGCGCGGCCCGCGGGTCCAGCAGCGTCATCATCGCCCACTGCGCAAGAAATCCGTCCATTGTTAGGGCCCCCATGGGCACATTGACCTCAGCCGAGTCTGTGTACCTGGGATCCGACGCCCAAGGATTGGCGGGAGAGGTGGAGAACAGCTCTTCCAACTCGTCCCTGTTGAGCGCGTTATCGCCATCATCGTCGTGCAGAAGGAACATCTGCTTGAGAAACTCCATAGCAACAGGCGTGAGCTCGACGCTCTGATCGGGCGCCCTCTTGAACGACGGGTTCTCTAGAAGCTCATCTCGCAGTCGGAGATCATTACCATAGCCGAAGGTTCTCAGAACGGTCCACGTGGTCTCCTGTCTGGCCTTCTCGATGAACAACGCGTGCAGGTAGAGGAAGCCGGCCAAATTCAAGCCCCTATCCGAGACACCGGCGGGCATCTTGTCGAAGACCACACTCTTGACCCCCTCCAGCTCCGCCGGCTGCAGCGGGGCGTCAAAACACTTCATCTGGAAGTTGTTCAGCTCTATGTCGTCGAGAACGTCGTCTCTGTCGGTGTCGCACAATCTGAATATCCGCTTGAGCGCGTGCACGCAGGCAGGTTTAAGACACAGCTTTCGCTGGTCGAACAGCGGGCCAATCGGATGGAGGACCGACTTTTCCGCCTGGTGGAACACGTCCATGACGCCATGGATCTTCTGCGCCGAGCACTCCATGCACGAGTCGATCTCCCGATGCTCGTGCATGATCGGCTGCAGCATCTGATCGGGTCCAGGCTGAGAGTCGTTACGCAGATCGCTCTTGCAGCCCACCAGGATGATGGGCACGCTGACATGAAGACGGCGCAGCTCAGGGAGCCACCACGCGTGCAGCCGATCGAACGAGCTCTGGTTGTCGCAGGCGTAGGTCAGCAGGATGGCCTCCGCTTTCAGGATCTCCTCCTCCAACGTCTTCCTGTCTTCGGGGCGCGACGAGGTGTCCACGACCAACATGGCTTCTTTGTCGGGGAAAAGATCCGGCGGTAGCCGCGCGGGAGGTATCACTGGCGGCGTCTTCTCTGGGAACTCCTCGGTCGCCGCGGCCACGATCAACGACGACTTCCCGGTTCCCTTGTCGCCAATCACGACAATGCGCACAGGCGGGCGCGACATCGTGACGGCGGGGCTCCCGCCCCCACCCTTCTCAGCTGCGCGAGACTTTTCCTTTCCCTCCTTTTTTCACACTACTCCTCTCTCCTACTCTCTGATGTGTCCCTTCTCTCCGCCGCCGCCTCCTCCTCTCCGGTCTATTCCTCTACCCTCCCTGACTTGATCGACGGGTATCTGTCATCCTCTTCTGCCCGAAGGCATCCAGAAAACTGCTGTGCCGCCAAGCCCAACACGACGCTACCGATGCAGAGAGAAGCTAACTCATGTAGAGAAAAGGACCCGCACGAATGGACGCGCTCGTTGATGAAGGAGGCGGGGAAACAGGAACGGGGAAGGGAGCAAGGGACATGTAGGGGAAAGGCCAACGAACCCGATCGGCCGTGGCTGACCCCGCGATGCGATCTGAGATGCGTAAGATACAGCGTGATACGGCTTGCGCGTCCGCGCTTCCCTGTCCTCCCCTCCGCCCCGCCCAATTGCCAAAAGCTTGTTACGCTATGCCGCTCTCGCACCGACACCGACGTCGGGTGGGGCAGAAAACAGACGAGATGTTACGCTATGCCGCTCTCGCACCGACACCGACGTCGGGTGGGGCAGAAAACAGACGAGAAGAAGCGGSGGGGGGGGGGGGGGGGGGGGGGRGGGGGGGGGGGGGGGGGGGGGGGGGGGGGAGGGGTTGGGGAGGAGAAGGTTGAGAAGGCAAGAGGAGGAAGAGCAGGGGCCCTGAGAAACACAGTAGCACTATCTCTCAATGGTGGCACGAAACAGCCTATGGTAGGGGGAAGCGGGAGGGAAGAACACCAGCACCATTGGCCCCATCAGTCAGGTGAAGCCATGTGGCGAGACACCAAACGGGCAAGTCGGCACCGTCGTGCAAACCCCCACAGTCGCGGGGTCTATCCCAGCAAATCAGCCGCCAAACCCCGATCATAACCACCTACCCACCTACCGGTAGCGGGGCCCTTCTCGCCGAACCTAACCCCGATCGTACCCCCGACCCCCCTCCGCCCCCCTCTCTCGCTCCCTCTAATCCAACCCCGGCCCTTCTCACTGAGGGCACTTGCTGCCCATGCACCACTTCCCACCGACGCCAACGACAGCAGGTAAGCGCGGGGACGGACGATCGCCAGCCAGCCGTGCCTCAGATATTGACGACGATCGATTTTTGTTCGTGATTTTCATTTGATTCGTTCAGTTCATGTGTTCTTGGTCGTCCGCATGCGTGGCAATGACATTGGCATTGGCATGCGATGCACGGGAGCGGGGCGGGGTTCCTGTTTAGTCCTGTCTTGCCCTGCGCCTCTGTGGTGTGAGTCCTGCCGTGTGAGCCGTCGACGAGCGGCGGAAGCGAGAAGAGCAGAAGCACAGCACCTCCGTCCCGCCGGCCACCTAGGCACCCGCCGGCGGGTGGGCGCCTGGCCTTCTCCGCCTGTGGGCTCGTTTGCCCGCCGGTTCATGCCAGTCCATCTGATCCGTGGACAAATGCTGGCGCAGACGTTCGTACGTGGCGAGAGCCTTTCCGACACATCGTGGGCAAAAGACGCGCCAAACTGCGCTTCTCTCCCTCACTCCCGCCCTCCATCCGCCAGTCTCCCCGGCAGATCACATCGCACGATCCCAAACTCACTACCGCGGGGGACCTTGATCGCCCCCCTATTGCTCGCTCAACTGGGGGCCCAAGCAAGTGACGCCGCCGGATCCGCCGCGGCAAGTAAGCAGCACAGCCGAACAGAACAGCGCCGCAGCTCGCCCGCCCACCCCCCCACCCCACCCCGTTACAGATTCTAGGATTTCCAGATTTTCAGATTGGATTTCTTTGTTTGTTTGCCGTTCGATTTTCACTTCTTTTTTTTTCCGTTCGTTCATTGACAGCGCAGATTCACGCGGGGTGGGGTCGCTCACCTCTATGGGGGCTCGCCGCTCTACTCACCAATCTGTGTGCCGCACAACTCACGATGCGTAAGATGCAGAATGTCTGTTCCCCAGGAATCTGGTAAGATACGCCCGCTATAGTTTTCGCCGTAATCGCTTACGGGACGTTACGGCCTGATGTCCCTCACATCACCGTTGCCCATTACTTACGCAACGGAAACGACCAGATAGCGTGGATCCCTTGTACCTAGTTCCAGTCCGCCGCGCGTATAGCTTCATCGTTGGCTCAACATCAGAATTTGAACTCTTCACCGTTGATCGACAATCTGAACGCTGTACCATTCAGTTCGCGTCTTGTCTGGAAGAGTGTCCGCCTGCTGCCGCCATTCATCGTCACAGGTTGGGAAGATAGAACGAATCCTTACTTACATATTTAAAAAACTCAACTAACGGGCGGGCCTAACTCTATTGGTGCACCCACGGACTGTTGAAAGGAGCACAGCTGAGTTCGATCCAAGTGGAACTACATCAACGAAATTCTTCTTCAAGTACCTGGGGGCAGGTCGTTTTTGAATTGCCTGGCGCTGGTGAATTCTACAATGATCGGGCAGGTCATTCTTGAATTACCTGGGGCTGGTCGGTTCCACGATGATGTCTTCCTTCCCTTCAAATTCACCTTTCTCTACCTATACCTACCACTACTCCTAAGTCTACACAAGGGAACCCTGTGAGCATAGCTTGTTCTCACGATCAAGGGGATGTTGCTCCCCGCCCTAATCGGGGCCAAGATCCCACTTGCACGAATTAAGAGATCCTGACCGTAGATTGCAAAGATCAACGGTCGAAATCTCCCAATTTGCGCAGGTGGGACCTTGCCCCGGGTGTGGACAGGGAGTAGGGTGGGGCCACCCGGTGGGGTGGGGGGGGCAGCTAACACAAAGCTCGACCATTTTCCCAGAAGCTGCACCTCCCATCTACTTCCCCCACCCCTATCCATTAACATCAGTGTTGAAGGACAACACTCTCCCAAACACCAAACACAACCTACCCCCCACCCCCCCCACACACACGTGTTGGCCAAAGACCCAACCAATACCGACTAGGAGGAGCAAGCCAATTATCTCAGATGCCTGCCACCCTTTTCAAAAAGAAGAAGGGGAAAAACGCTCAACTATGGCCGTTCAATGTTGCCACTCTGTAATGGAAAGGCGACAGGTGCGCTGTACAGGAGCGCTACCGGAGACCGTGGCACTGTGAATGGCGCACACCTAACACAAGGCTTGAGAAGGCTGCCTCCTGAGGCAATCTCAGTGACAGATTTATGTCTATCCTGAATGCCATGCAGCTCCTTAGGTTAGCCCATGGGGTTGCATGCCTGAGTTGCAGCAGGGAAGAGATGGGTTCAAGGCTTATCTGAGGCCTTCACCCTGTCTAAAGAACAAAAACACTGCCAGGGTCAAGTGGCAGGAGCGATGTTCAATTAGCAAATAACAAAAAGGGAAAAGGCAAAGCAAGAGCGTAGGTCAGAATCCTGTCAACACGTGATTAGAATGCCCCATCGTTTTTGCTGTACATGAACTGAAAGTTGGAGCAAATACAGCTATAACAACCAGGTGTTCTATTCAGGTGAAGATGGGAAGTGTTCTGTTTTCACAACAACAAAAAGAAAAGAAAAGAAAAGAATTTTTTTTTTAAAGTAACCCTAGTACTTACTGCATGGCACCAACCATGCACAGCTGCCATTGGAGCTAAAAGATCTGATGTTGAAAATGGGGGAATAAAACATCATATTATTATTAAAAATAAAAATAAAAAACTCCAAAAGAAAGGTCCTTTTTTTAGGGAGGGGGGGGGGAAGGTGGGGAGAGGGGGGGAGCGATCAAAAAAATCAACAAGAGAAGAAATTCTCTTAAGCCACCCTTCCATTAAACGGGTATTTTGCCTCAATTAACCCACCGCAAAATCTCAGGTCGGGCCTACCAAGTATAAAAAATTCCTAAACTCGATTTTCTCAAATTTGAAATTCGTACTTTGATTTTGTAGATAGAAACCCGTGATTTTTCTCAATTTTGAAATTCTTCCCTGATCTTGTTTAAGGAAATTTGTGATTTGCTTTCTATGATTGTTGTGGGCTAGGTTGAAAATTTTAGCTCTTACAAAAATCCTCAAACAGGGAGTTCTTAAGTAATTGGTTTTATTTTGTTGTTCTTAGCAAGCGGGTCCGGTCGGGGATTTCATGGGATCCGGGTCAGAGGAGTTGGAATGGATTTCTCCTTTAGGGTTGGAGTCCCTCCCTGCGAGGGTTACACAAGGTGGGTGGTGTGATCTTTGAGCGGGTAGAGGCAGTATTGAGGGTTTGTCCTTTTATGGGCCACGTTGATCTTCAAGTCGGATCAGCTATAGCGGTTGGGGAGAGAGGACAAGGGATGCTGATGTCAGCAGGGTGAGAGTTCAGAGGTTGTTCCTCTTAGAGGGGGTGGGGCAGGAAGGAAGAGGGATCTCCGGCTCCGTGGGGGCATAGTTTAGGGGGTACTATATGCGACTGAGGGAGCAGGAGTGGTATTCTGGGGGCTGTTCTGAACTGGGGCGAGGAGGTGAGGGGGCCCCTTCCCGCGGAGGTAGTGAACAGACAGAGGGTTGTCTTTTGGGGGAGAGGAGTAATTCTTTTGATTCTTGTGACCCTTATACATGTTACTGAGATTTCAATAGGCGTTGGAGTTGCCATGGGGAGAGAGGGTGGTTTTTCCCTCTCTCCCCCTCTCTGTGTGGGAATGGTGGGCATTGAAATGCTCATGTGATTTTCGTTTTTTTTTTTTTTCCTGTTTTTCCTATTTGAAAATTTCTTTGAATTTTTTTTCCAAGGTTTGGTGCTGGAGGCTGGCGGTTGTGGTGGTTGTGACGGCGGGAGATGACGCGCTCTGCGGCGAAGGGGCTAGCCTGTAGGGTTGAAATAGGGTACAACAGCGGTGGAGATGGTGACTTCCTTGTGGTAAGACTTGCCGGAGTAGGGCTCAGGGGTGTTTTTTAGGGGATATCCTCAACCAGGAAGGAAGGAGATGAATTATGAGATCTACAACTATGGTGCTGATTGGTGGCTTGACTGGTATTTGCCTTAGTCCTGAGTCCCGGTGGCTTGCGAATAGACGAGGCCAGAACGACACTGATCAGTGTTGGGGCTTGGTCGCGCTGCCCTGTAACTCGAGTTGTACGAGGGCATGAGACATGGTAGAGAGATCTAGGGAGTTGTGGAGGGTGGAAGGCACTCTACTGTCTTTTGGTGAGCTGGTGCCTAGTCGATGCTGGTCGGAGTTGGGGCGGGTCGCTTTTCCCTGTGCCCTAGCAGGGGGGGGGGGGGGGGGGTGGGTCGTGCCACTCTGTAACCTAGCAGTTGGGGGCATGAGGCCTGGTAGAGATTGGGCGTCGGAATATAGGGGTGAGGCAGGTAGGGTTGGCTGGGGGGGTTTTTTGTGGGGGGGGGGGGGGGGGGGGGGGGGGGGGGGGGTGGGTCATGCCACTCTGTAACCTAGCAGTTGGGGGCATGAGGTCGGGAAGAGATTGAGCATTGGGATACAGGGGTGAGGCAAGTAGGTTGGGGCTGCTGAAAGGCACCTGGCAGATAGTCTTTCGTTAAGAATGCTTCTTTAATCCAAGCCTTGGGAGACACAAAATTCCAGTGTATAAATTACATAGTTGTCTATCGTAGTCGAAGCCGGGTAAGGGCCCCGATATCTCAAGGATCTTTCCACAAACTTCTCATAAATTTCTCATTTTCAATATGATCTTGAATGGGACGCTGGGCTCGGTTCCTAGCATGTGCTGCTCCCCACGGATAGATTGGCGCATGTCCCTTGTTATTAAAAAAAAAAAAAAAAAAAAAACCATAAAAGCTAGGTTGTTTTATCGAATGTCCGGAACCCCCCTGACCATCCGGTACGTCGGACCGGACAGGGGATGTCCGAACTAGCACAAAAAAAAAAAGAAAAAAAAAAGAAAAACATTTTTTTTGAAAAACATCATGTGACTTCTACCTTGCATAAGGTGTATGCCACCAAAATTTTGGCTTATTTGAGCCAGTAGAAAAAAAGATAAAAATCTTCAAAGATTCTAATCCCCACCTATACCCCTCCTATCCCCACCAAAACCCCTCGTACCCCCCCAACCCACCCCAAATAGCACCCTATCACCAAATGCTCAGAAAATTCTGAATTGTTTTATGGGGGGTCTCTATGGCATGCACAACACTGTCATAATTTTATTTTTTATTTTTTATTTTTTTTTAGTGCCAAAAAATCATCGTCCGAAAATCCGGATGACGGGGGTACCCTACGTCCGGGGAGACGTCCTGGGGAGACGTCCGATCTCCAGACCATTGGTAACATAGCATAAAAGGTTGGCAACACAAAGTTAACAAACACAATTTCACGCCTGCACCTGTTTGTTTTCCAAAGAAGTTGTCCTGGTCTGTTATATGTTTGCTCATATCTCACAGTCATGATCGAGGTGACACGGGAAAATATGGTTGAAATGCGGCACCTGATGGATAAGTTCGCTGACGTCTCAGATATGGTGGTCAACTGGGGGGTAAACCCGAAGGATGGTGGATCCATTCCCAAGGAGGGAGGCCCCTGAAACAACCACAAGTGAAATGAATGTCGTTAGAGGCACAAATCCGAGTCTTGGCAATCACACTCTCAGCCCAAGGAAAGCCCAACCTTCTCCCTGTGGTACAAATCAGCCCTTTGAGGCCTCAGTCCCACAACCACCACGACCACAGAGGGACAAGCTGCAAGCTTTCTTTGGAGAGGAAACCACGAGAGGGAGCACATTATCAAGACGGTCAGCTGTGACACCCTGATCCAACCCAAACTGAAAGGGGTTTGTGCATTATAGACATAGACACACAGGTCAAGGTACTCTTCGTCCAATAACTCAAGGGCCTACTAATCCTTAGCCAGAGTTGCCTTGGAGGGAGATGGCCATCGAGCAGATCAGACGATGCTCCCCCCACCCCCCACCAACAGACCCCCTCACTTCGATTGACGACCGCTTTTGGACATTACCACATCCACTCACTCAAAGGGGGAGAGGAGGAGCGCAACATGACCTGACAAAGGACAACCTCTGAGTCACCCT